GGGACTAATATACACAAAAGACAAGGACTAGTCCATAACGAAAAGGAAACTAAACATCACAAACTAATACGACACAACCAACAAACATAGTCAAATAATACACTTAAAATAATTAATCAATATATAAACAAAACTAGCAGTTCAAATACTAGAAATAAACAAAAATAAAGAAATAAACATTCAAACACCCCCCTTAGCCAATTTGCATGTTGGTTTGGTCAGGCGGAACAAAATCTCGGCAAATCTTGTACAATCAAGTACAATCTTGCCAAGCTGGACCTCTGTTAGACTGCAGTCTCTGGAGCACTGAGCCACACCATCTTGGATCCCACAGCTAACTTTTACTCAAAGAAATTAATATCAATAAATCCTGTCAAAAGAACTTAAAAATGTGCACAACAAACTAGTAAAATATGACTTGAAATAATTTAAATGAAAATAAAAATGCGAAGTGTACTAAACTGTGTCTAACATTATTGTTTATAATCAGTAACAAATAAGAATTACTAAATTAAGAATTATAAAGTGTGGTTGTGTGTATATACCATTGTTTAATGTGGGGACACATAGTTGGCCATCACACTGTTCTTTTTAACTCTCTATTAATAATCAGATATTCCTGTAAAATATATATATATATAGTATTTTATATTGAGTATTTATTTTTATTTTCAGACTCACCAAGCCTGCGTTTATCTGATAAAAAAGTAAAGTTAAAAAACATTATATATATATATATATATATATATATATATATATATATATGTATATATGTGTGTATGTGTATATATATATATATATATATATATATTTATATATATATATATATATATATATATATATATATATATATATATATATATATATATATATATATTTATATATAATGGTTTTTAGCTTTACTTTTTTTATCAGATAAATGCAGGCTTGGTGAGTCTCAAAATAAAAATAAATACTCATAGATATCAAACTTTTCACCAGTGGTGTAGAATAAAACAACATATACCAAAGTATTTATGGGCTGTGTTGATCTGAAATTCTGACTGGATTTAAATGTCAAGTCTGGTGTATGAAAATGTGTGAAATGGCATAGTTCTGTAAGTTTGATGGCTCATACATGGCAGATGATCAGTCCAACAACAGCAGTCACCTGACAAGTGAGCCTGAAATATAAACCCCACATAATCCTGTCCTTGAGATAAAGTAGATGTGTCTGTTTGTCCAGGGTGGGTTTGACCTTTGACCCAGGGTGGATCTCATAGTGACACTCCATTATTCGTTATCTCTATGACAACATTTCATATTGTACAACTATCAGACTGGGAGTGGCAGTGGTGAATCTGTTGCTGGTGTCACAATCACTACTGAGATACGAGGTGTTGTGTGTTAAAATGTATGATGTCATTGTTGAACGGTGGTGGATGTGTTCAGTTTGACATTACAGATAAAGCTGTGAATGCCCGTGTCTAAATATATGCAATACTTTTACGAATATGTTGCCTGTTTTGAAACTGCAGGAAATCGGTAAGAATTACAAGAAGTGTGTATTTAAGCAGGCAGAAAGACAGGAAGACCTTTAAGGGCTTTTGAGATCTTGTCTGTCGCCCGCTGGCTATAGTGTCGTCAAAAGAGGTCAGAAACTGAGAAGATTGAATTACAGCTGACCTCGACTCTACTCAGCACATGCTGAAAAAGAATGGTTTAGTTGAACCATGAATGTTGACATTTTTGAACACACTGAGATATAAAGGCATAAAAGCTATTAGAAGATACACATTTGTGCTTCCAGAGTATATGTATTAGTACCAAAAGCATCCAAATTAAACCTGGAAGAAACATATTGGTATGTAAAGGACCATATTGCACCTAAAAGGTACATTTTGACATTTTTTTACCTTTTGAAAGGGTACCACCACAAAGAGGGCTATTGTACATTTATTTCTGAGAGTGGATGGAAATGAAGAAGAGCAAAGTAAGCTGAAATAGAAACGATCGAGAGAGAAAATGCATTCATCATTTTTTTTTATACAAACACGCATAATTTTTTAATCATTATTTTATAATCGTTTAGCTGTTCATATCAGATCATATATAATATGATTAATAAATGTATATGAAACGTAATAACATTATATATACTGTTGTGCACAACATAGTTACATGGGTTCTTTTAACTCGAATTCTGAAAGTGTCATTTATATTTGGTTTATATATTAAAAAGTAGGTTTTTAGTGTAGTCTCAGAATTTTTGCGTATTATCAGCGTGTTTTGCAATCTGTTCGTTACGAGCAGAGGTGTTGTTTTTGTCTTCCTGTCCAAGTAAGTAAAGAAAAGATAATATCGACAAAACGTTTAGGAATTTCAAGAGGAAGTTGTTCTTAATTGTGAAAGTAAAAGTTTGATAGGTATCTGTACGTCATTGGAAGCTTTTTTTTTTCAGTTCTCCTTCAAACAGCTGAGTTATGTCATTTACAGTAATCAGACATTCCTCATGGATTTAAGCTGTAAAATCAATAAGCTGTACTTTACAGGGTGTGTGCGTCACTGCTGCTGGGTTGGCCTTGTGGCGCTGATAAACTCCTCCGTCTGGAGCTTTAGTTTCCATGTTTAAGAAGAACAGTCTTGAGTGTTCTTACAGAAACTCAGCCTGGACAATAAATGTTTGTTTAGAGAAAACTGGTATGGTTTACCGCACTCTGCAGACACATCTGTAATGGAATTAGCATCAGTGAAAAACTAAACATCTTTTATTCAACCATGAGTTTTAAAGAGACTGTTCACCCAAAAATGAAAATGCTGCCATCATTTACTCATTCTCCACTTGTTTCAAACTTGTTTGATTTTTTTTTCTTCTGTTCAACACAAATGAAGATATACTGAAGAATGTTAAAAAAAAATTTGTTTGGCTTTTTTTTATTATTCCACAAAATATCTTGTTTTGTGTTGTTAAAAGTTTAGTATAACTTGGATGAGCCCTGTTTACACTAATACCTTTTCGTTTTTAAACGCATACGTTTAGCTACGGTTACACCTTCAGTCCACACCATACCCGAGCACTAAAAATGGAGCTTTTAGAAAACGCTGGAGAGGCCGTTTTGGTTTTAAAACGCTGCTGCTCCGTGTTAGTGTAGATGGGGGAAAACGACATGTGGCTGCAGACATTTGCAAACATCTGATTGGGGCTTTTTCTTCTATGTTAAGTGCACAAAGTTCAGTCTTGCATTCTTCAAAGTTCAGACTTTGCATGTTTGATATGGAAAACAAACTCCAGAGAACATGTCGGGTAAAAACTGTAGGCTACTTCATAACGTCATTAACATCACCCTGGCTACGCTGTTTCACTATCTTAACAATGAAATTAAAACATGATAAAAGGAACTGCCAGTTTTTATTTTGATATTAACTTAAAAATATTGAGGCATCGTGTAGCTACATATCTATATGACCTCCTGTCATCTTCACTGTTTGGATATTTATTGCAAAACGTAGCCTATAACATAACTGACTCCTTTCTTTTTCTTCAACAAATATGAAGCAAAGTCTCTTTTGCTCAATATCAGTTTTAATAATCAATAATGGCCATTATTAAAGTATAAAGTACAATAAGTTTATACATAATAGCAAATAAAGGCAAGCAATTAGTCAAATGTGCAGAATCCGTGTATGTGGTTACAAAAAAATTATATATTAATATATTGCGCTCAGCCAAAACATGTTACCTGAGAACAAGTTATAGATGGTCAAAAGACCATTAGATAGAAACCAGATGACTTAAAAATTATGTTTAACAACTATAGTGAGATGAAATCCAGCAGAAGATCCTTGATGAACTGTCCGACCTGCGCTGCTGTCACTCGGGGAGGTGCGCTCAAAGCACCCACTGACTGCCTGGAGCTCAGATGTGCGCATACGCTTCACCACATGCCAGAGTGTGTGTGTTGTCACGTGATGTGCATTTTCAGTGGTGTTGTGTGGACTGAGATCTGTTCAGAAACACTGGGGAAACGCCAGTGTTTACATGGATCGTTTTAAAATGTCGCTTTAAAACTACATATTAGTGTAAACAGGCCTTTAATCCACCTTCACCTTAATCACTGGCCAGTCAAATTTAACAGTTTTTTTGTTTCTTTTTACATTGGGGCATTATTTAGACATCTCAATGTGAAATGTGGTTGTGTATGTGATTAATTTACTCATTTTATTGAAAGTTGGGATATTATTATTTTACAAATCAGTATCATTTTTCCACATTTAAATCATTCTGCATTTGAGTATTGAAATCGCAGTGTGCAAATCTATAATGGTCACATCACATCTGCAATGTCAGTTATTTTAATCTTAGAGTGAAAGTTTATTATCCATATTTGTTTTTTAAAGCATGTGACTGAACATTTCAAGCCATTTGGAAACAATAAATTTAATGTTTGTAGTGTAACTATGAATTTTGTATAATTGTATAATTCATTTGTATATTTGCTCTCTTGTATTTACTATGCTTTTTTTTGTTTATTATATTTTATTTAGCTACGCTCCCCCACAAAACCATCCCAAACAATCTGAAATGAACTCTTTCCAAATAGAGCAATTCAAGAAGCCTGGTGAAACTGTATTGATATCGCAATATGTATTGCAGTAAAAGAATATACTGCAATGTTACTTTTCCCAATATCGTACAGCCCTAGTTAACACAGAAGCTTGCAAAGAAAATGATTTATAAGTAACAGAATTTACAGACATCAATATAAAATTGTTGGTACCATTCCATTGAAGAAAAAAATCCTCAGTGGTCATTGAAATGGCTTGAAACTGAAAAAATAATGATTAATCAAAATTTGATAAAAGTCTGATATTGAATTCTGGATCAAAAGAAGCATAAAGGCAAACTAATAAATATTAGTCTGGAGAGATAGAGTACTAACAGTCGTTGAAGGGTAAGAACAAATTTGTCCACATCTGTAGTATGTTGGTCACATCTGAACCTTTGGGATCTCTGATTTCAGGCAAAATCGTGGAGGAAGTTAAAGAGCATGGTGCACTGCTCTCCGTTTGTGGTTTCCTTTAAGAAACGATATCCTTGGGTTCAGCTGGCAGGACACGCAGGTGAAAACTTGTTCTCACTTCATCGCATAATTGAGGAGCAGAACTTGAGTCTGAATATTTCAATTGTTTGTCTGTCTGTAGGAAGTTTCCAGGCAGGAGAGAACGGGAAGCTGTTGAAGAAGTATTGTGAATGTGAGCAGCAGTGTCTGGAGAAGCTGATGAATGATGACCTTCGGCCATTTGTACCCGGTTATTATGGTGTGGTTCAGCAGAACGAGCAGGATTACAACATAATGGATGATCTGCTCAAAGACTTTGACTCTCCTTCAATCATGGACTGCAAAATGGGAAGCAGGTAAGACGGCGAAGCATCTAAAATAGGGTTTTTAGAATTTGGTTTCAGCTTCACAACATAATAGCCATAAGGGGATAGTTCATTCAAAAATGTAAATTTACTCACTTTTTACTGGCCCTCAAGTGCTTTCACAACTTTTTTTTTTTTTTAAGAAAGCTGAAAACCTTTGTCCAACGACTTCCATTGTAGTAAAATAAATTCTGTGGAAGTCAATGGTTAAAGGTTTTCAGATTTCTTCAGAATATATGCCTGTTTTTCCAAAAAAAAAAAAAAAAACAGAAACAAGTAAAGGGTGAGTAAAGATGACAATTTTCAGTTTCGGTTGAACTATCACTTTAACACCGTGTCCTAACGACACATTACAATGCTGTGACGTCATGTTTACATGTTAAAAGGAATTTTAACATGCCATCCACAACAGCAAACAGTTTGTATTTTAGAAATGGTTTCTATTTCTGTGACGTGGCGGCTGAACAACATCATAAACTATTATGACAGTATTTATGTGCTTTATTCAGGGTTAGATGTTACCTGTATAAGTATTAATCCCATTTTATGAAATGTATTGCCAAACTGAAAGCACCAGCAGACCTCAGATGTTGACAATCAAATAACTAGCATACAGTTAAAGATGAATGTTAGTACCAATTATGTGCAAACCAACAACTTATACCTGTTTCATTGGTAATGTAGAAACTATTCTGTTTGTTTTTTTTTTTTAGAATGGCTGGTATGTTTAAGTCATGCCGTGACTGCTGTGGACAGACAAATTGCTTGTTGCTGGAATGTTGTCAATTTGTTTGTAGCTCAAAACAAGATGTTTTTTTTAGACATACTTGTTTGGTAAATTGTGTTCATGACTAGACAAATTTTGAGTTTTTTTTTTTTTTTTTTTCTATGCACAAAAGGTCCACCAAACAGTTACAATGCCAGTTAAAGGGTAATGATACAAAGAGATATTTTGAAGAATGAGAACCAAATGACAGTAAACCAAACAGCAAAGTCCCCATTGACTTCCGTAGTGTTTCTTCTTCTCCATACTATGGAGGTCAATCATTTTAATCAACTATTTGTTTGATGTATTATTGTACCATGTTTTAAATTTATATTTTGAATGTTCTTATTTCTTTTGTATTTTCTTTTTTCATTTTTTATTAGTTAAAGATTTGGTACATTTGTGGGTTACTTCATCTATGAGCCAAAAAAGTTTTTAGGCATTAACACAGCTGAAAGTTTTCCCCCACATATTAGAAAGTTTGAGCAGAAAATTGACTCATTTTTACCATGATTTGAAGAAGACGCCCACTAAAATGTCACAATAGTTTATATACCAAAATATAATGTCAGGCATATTTAGAACAAAATTATTTGATGACATTGAATTACTTCATTACTTCATTTTAGGTCAAAGTTTAGCCCCACAAAATTAAATTTACTACAAAATTTCATTTATGTTATGCTATGGAACATATTTCAGCATTTTATTATATATATATATATATATATATATATATATATATATATATATATATACACAGTTGAAGTCAGAATTATTAGCCCCCCTCAATTATTAGATCGCTTGTTTATTTTTTCCCCCAATTTCTGTTTAAGGGAGAGCAGATTTTTTTCAACACATTTCTAAACATAATAATTTTAATAACTCATTTCTAATAACTGATTTATTTTATCTTTACCATGATGATATAATATTTTACTAGATATTTTTAAATTTTGTCCCTAAAATGGTAAATAGAAAATTCAAAACTGCTTTTATTCTAGCCGAAATAAAACAAATAGACATACTGTGAAAATATCCTTGCTCTGTTAAATATCTTTTGGAAAATATTTAAAAAAGAAGAAAAAAACTCGAAGGGGGGTAATAACTGTGTATATATATATATATATATATATATATATATATATATATATATATATATATATATATATATATATATATATATATATATCTTCATTTAACCTGATAAAAACCCATTGAGATCAAAATCTCATTTACAAGGGTGACCTGGCCAAGAAGTCCGCAACACACAACTTATGAAAAGAAAGAAAAAAACTAATAATAATATTAATATTAAATAGAAAATTAATATAATATAAAAAATACAGTTTAGTTGTTCAGCTATACCACATTACAATATGTTGAAAACACATACATTGAGAAATGGACTGTTGTTGTTTGTTCAAAAGGATAGAGCAAAACGATGTAATTGGGATGAGCTTAGACATTTTTAGTTCAGACTCTTGGGTATGAAGGCACCAGTCCCAGAGGAGCTTTGTAGACCAGAGTCATCCAGTGGGTGTACCTTCTTACATTTTGACAAAAGTTACTTAAAACATTAAAGTAGACATGCTGTTTGATTCAATATGATTTCCTAAGTATATCAAATCACTTCTAGATGTGATGTACATCTGTCATAACTCAACTTAGTTTTTTGGTTTCAGTTTTAATGAATGATAATAACTGTTCAGAAAAACAAAAACAAAACAAAAAAATGAGCACGGTTACATGATGAGGTGTTGGCAGCAACAGTGACAGTTAATGTTGTAAGCTGATCATGAAGGGTCATGAATGATTTGTTCCACACAGGACATACCTGGAGGAAGAGCTGGTAAAGGCCCGTGAGCGTCCTCGGCTCAGAAAGGACATGTATGAGAAAATGGTGGCTGTTGACCCAACCGCTCCTAGTCCAGAGGAAAGATCCCAGCAGGCTGTTCTCAAACCTCGATACATGCAGTGGAGAGAAACTCTGAGCTCCACTGCCACACTCGGCTTCCGCATAGAGGGAATCAAGGTGAGACATAAAATCTGGCCCTGGATCATAAAAAAAAAAACTCCCTCATACGGTTCAATATTGTTTAATTGAGGTTTCCACATCACATACAAGCTGAATAAATAAGATTTTTATATTGATGATAGCTGGGACAGAACGATATTTGGCTAAGGTACAGTTATTTCAAAATGTGAAATCTGAGGATTCAGAAAAATTGAAGTATTGAGAAAATCGTCTCTAAAGATGTGCTTATTACAAATTCAAAATTGAGTTTTGATGTATTTGCTGTAGAAAATGTGGAAAAGCATCTTTACTTGAGAGTCGAGTGATTTTTGGCAGAAGCAGAAAGTCTGTAATTTGGACCCATACAGTGTATTTTTGGCTATACAGCTGTTACGAAAGACAAATAGGGAACAGTATTTAAATTGCAGTAACATCTCACCATTTTTGATCGAATAAATCATAGCTTGAGTAATTATTTTTGTTTATAAAGGGAATCATACATTTATGAAAAAGCATTTGAGATACTTTTTTTAAATAAAAATGCAAAGTAAAGGATGTACTTTAATATTTCAAGTAACTTTTTTGAAAATGTCATAATGATCATGTCACATGATTCATCACATCCAAAATAAAAGTTTTTATTTACATAATGTGTGTTTATATATGTGTTTAATATTGTGTATAATATAAAAACTGTGTATAAATATTGGGTATAAATTAGGTAAGCATATAAAATAAAAAACAATAGTAATAAAAAACTACATTTATATATTTATATATATATATATATATATATATATATATATATATATATATATATATATATATAGTTATGATGGCCTGTACCTATAAAATACATAAAAAGAATATGTGATCTTACTAAATCTTTATTGTCATTTTAACTAATTAAAAGTATCTTCCTGAACAATAAACAAAAACCTAGCGGTATGAAGGATTGTGGCAAAGTATAAACATTTAAAATGACAATTCAATATTTTTTATCAATATTTTTTTAATTAAATGTCATGTGTCATTGATTAAGTCTTAATTGTTCTTAATATGCCTGACAAGACTTCGTAAATCACCTACTGTCACACTGAATGACATTTAGTAGAGTCTTTTCTGTAAACCATGATAAAAAAAGAGTCATTAGCTTTTATTTTTGGATTAAAAAAAATAAGTTAAACAGGACAAATTATTATGTTTGGTACATTTAGTAAAAGTAATACACTCATATTGTTTTGACACTTTAAAAAAACATTTTCACCTTTGACCCATATATAGCTATGTCTTTTTTTGTATCTTATGAAAACCACTGAGCGTTTATCTGTTGTAAAATATGCAAATAACCCTACACGGGAAAAAGTTGTGCCTTAAAAAAGCAGCAAATACACGTCACTGCTACTTTTCTGCAAGTGTGCCATCTGCTATTTATAAACATGACGGAGCTGGAAAATGTATTTTTACTATTAACACAAATTCTGTGTGTTTGTGTCCAGAAAGCAGATGGAACATGCAACACCAGCTTTAAGAAAACCAAACATGAAGAGCAAGTAATGAAGGCCTTCGGAGACTTTGTGGATGGAAACACAAACTTACTGGTATGTTTGAAGGAAATGTTGGGTGTTGGGTTTTACATAAGATGAAATGAAAATGACAATGCTATTCAGCTACACCTTTCACAAGAAAAGAGTCAATGAGCGTAATGTCATTATTCAGTTATGAAAAAATTTCACCTATAAGAATAGTTCTGATTCCTAGTAAACATACTACATTCCTAGTTGTTTCCTGCTTGTTGTGACAGTAAACCGGTGTGTTCACAATACTTGTTAAAAGATTGGATTAGTAAGATTTGTTTTGTTTGTTTGTTGAAAAGAAGCCAGTTCTGCTCACAAATGCTTCACATTCAAAATCTTCATACATCAACATACATTCAAATCTTCAAAATTGTTAAATATTATAACAGTTTAAATTAAAGCTGTACTTTAATATTTGTTTTAATATGACGATCTGCTGATTATTAATATCTCTTGAATACTTATTCATATTTTTGTGTGTGTGTGCAAACTGTGATGCAGTAGCATTTAAAAGTACTATTAAAATATATTTTTTCATTAAGGACACATTCAATTCTCCTAAAAAGATTTAATACAAATATATGCTGCTTTTTTAATCTTTCTCATCAAAGAATGTTAAAGTAAAATACCTCACAGTTTCCACAAAACTATGAAGCAGGCAAATGTATTTCGCATTGATAATAATAGTATACATTGCTAATTACATTGTTATACTTTCTAATAAGTAGGGCCAGAAAGAATCTGCTGACAGCTTTTGCTATTTCTGTGGAGAATCTTGTAAAAAATCTGCAGATTTATGTGGAATGATTTTAGGAGAAACATTATAAGTTAATTAAGTAAAATCTTTGTATATGAAAAAACAAAAAAAACAACAACACATTTTTAACTTTTATTCAATGTTTACAATGCAAATCCATTTAGATCCACTTATTTGGTAAACAAAGCAAGTCTCTCGTATAATATATCTATTAAAAAGCAGAAAATATTACTTTACAAACTGTATTGTACATAAATCAGATGAACATTTTCATATTATTGTTATTATATCACAACAACAATATTAGTGGAATTAATTTAAAAACTGAATAAGTATACATTTACACAAGTAAATGCATAGATTCAATGATAGGTTACAAATCTGCAGATTTCTGCACACAGTTTCTGTGTGGGCCTACCAATAAGTACTGATCATAATAGAACAGCAAATCATCTTATTATGATGTCCGAATTATCATAAAAGACGGAGTAATGATGGTGCAGACCAGTTTTAAATCACAAGAATACATAAAAATGTACTTCGCTCAATAAAAAAACAGTTATTTCAATTGTAAAATGATTTCACAATTTCCTGTTTTTACTGTCATTTGGATCAAATAAATGCAACCTTGGCTTATTTAGGAAAATAATAATAACAAAATATTGATTTATTTATTTAAGAATATACAGTAGTAGCCAAAAAGGTTTCAAAACTGTGCTAAAAAAGTTTTAGAACAACTTTGATAAAAGGTTTTGATCCACTTGACTACGGTATATCTTGTATGACTACCATAGGCGGAGCATGTGTAGGGCTGGGGAAGGCTTAAGGCTAATTTATACTTCTGCGTCAAGTGCACACGTATGCTACGGCGCAGCCTGCGTGTTGACGCATAGCCCTACACCATTTCCGTCGGCGTTGCTGACGTGCACCTCTCAAAAAATGTAACTACACGTCACAACGATGTGTAGCGCAAGCTCTGTCATTGGTCGGCTTGGTAACACTGACGAGTCTGGGCGGGACCGAGAGCAACGCGAGCCCGATGGAGCGAGTGTTTACAAGTGTGGAGTCCCGTGAAGGAGCTCCGGATGAAAAGTTTTGTTTTGTGTTTACCTCATGGTTAAAGTTGTTGCACGTCTGCCGGTTCCTGCCTCAAAATGAGCGAGTTTGAGCCACTTGTACATTCAGGAAGCGTTCAGAAAAAACAGAACAGCAGCGAAGAAACTCAACACAGAAGACCATAACACTTCACTGCCAACTAGCGTTTCAGAAGTGTTATTGCAGAATAACAGAAACAGCGTGCAGAAGTATAGATGCACAGCTACGGGCGTTGCATGCGCTGTGGGTCACGCCAATCACTTGACGTAGAAGTAGAAAACAGGATTAAGGCTGATTTATTCCTCTGCATCAAGCACACACGTATGCTTTGGCGCGGCCTTAGTGTGCACTCATAGCTCTCGCCGTCGGTGTCTCTGACGCGCACCTCTTAAAAAATGGAACTACACGTCGCAATGACGCATAGCGCAAGCTCTGTGATTGGTCGGCTTGGGTAGCGCTGACAAGTCAGGGCAGGACCGAGAGCAAGCCCGATGAAGTGATTGTTTACAAGTGTGGAGTCCTGTGAAGGAGCTTCGGATGGAAAGTTTTGTTTTGTGTTTACCTTATAGTTAAAGTTGTTGCGCGTCCGCCGGTTCCTGCCTCAAAATGAGCGAGTTTGAGCCACTTGTACATTCAGGAAGTGTTCAGAAAAAACAATACAGCAGTGAAGAAACTCGACACAGAGAAACATTAACACCTAACTGCCCACTAGCGTTTCGGAAGTGTTAATGCAGAGTAACAGTCACAGTGCGCAAAAGTATAAATGCACAGCTACGCGCATTGCATGCGCGGCGTGGGTTACGGCGGTCACTTGATGCAGAAGTATAAACCAGGCTTCAATCTGCGCACGCGGTACGGATTTTGCTGTGAAAACAGTAAAAATGTATACACTCGCCCATATGCTTCCAAATAGATTTTAAGGTCGCAGAGATAAATTTTCATTTATGCACATATGTGACCAAAACGGTCGAGCCCTAGCATCTTTACTTGTTATTATTTCCTCATAATAATAATAAAATAATGAAGTTATCATCAATCACAATACAAATTACAGTGAACTCCAAACAAACTCTCGTCTCCTCCATTAGCTGTGGGAAAAGCCATTAGAACAACACAGATCACTGCCTATTTATGCCAGCGTCCCGTGGAAAAAAAAAAAGAGATTGACAGGTGGTAATTTTTGTGTAACTTTATTTATTTATGGTTTGGTTATGGGTAAAGCAAAGACCATGGGGGGGTGAGGCAGTGAAAACGGTAGGCTACAATTAATTAATTTGTTATGAATTCATTGATATTTAACAATGACCCCCGCCTACGACGACGATGCCTTCGTCCATCGCGATGTTTCACATTAGACATCATACGATGCCAAATTGGTCAACATCACCCAACCGTAGTTTGTTGATAGGCAGTGCTTTTGTTAAAACCTCTTCTTGGTCGGTCACAAATCTTTTTAAATGCATTAAAGGGCAGCGCGTGTCTTAGCCTTACCCTGGAGTTTGTTCACCCTCTGCTTATGATGACTACTGAATGCCAAACTGTTGACCGGTAGCTTACCATGTGTGTCCTGCAGTGGTGCTATATTAGTATGTGTAGCCCTACTGAAAAGCTGGTGTGACCCAATCAGAATGCAGGAACAGGAGAATACTTACAGTTGTGTTTTTTTTTTTCTTTTTTTTTTCCAGAGGAATTATCTTCTTAGGCTGGAAGAGCTGCGCTGCGCTCTGGAAAACTCACACTTCTTCAGGACACATGAGGTGAGGGATTGTGTAATCTTGTCCTGCCTGAGCCAAATTCTTTCAACTCTGGAACATCATAAATCATGTTTCGTAAGCTCAGATGTTTGTCCGGTTAATGTACATTTTAAGAAAAGTACAAAGTGTTCTAAGCATACTGTATGCTACTGTTAATACCCACTTAATGTTGTAAAAAACAGTATCATAAAGCAGCACTATTATCATTAAGAATTTACTTATAAATTATAATTACTTATAATTATAATATTCATGTAGTATTTATTTATTGTTTATACTCGCATTACAAAAAAAATCTTGAAAACATACATTTTAAAAACTGAATTTAATAACTGTATTGCTATTGTTTCTGATTCAAAAACAATGAAAATTTGAAGTTTTCATTAATATTATTTTTATATTATAATTATTAATATTAATAATTATAACTCATTTGAACTGAAGAAATTTTTTTTTTTTTACATTTTGTTTTTTTAATTACTTTATATTTCACAAAACCCGTCTCAACTTTGCAGACAATTTTTTTTTAACCCCAGAATGAAAATTAAATAAATAATAAATAAATATAAAAATCTTAATTCAATCAGTACTTTTAACTTTTCTGACATTAGATTTTGACCAAGAACTATTATGTTAAGGTTACGACTGGAAGGGCATCCTCTGTGTGAAGCATATGACTATAGTAGTATAGTAGTTGGCGGTTCATTTTGCTGTGGCGACCCCTGATAAATCACAGACTAAGTCGAAAGAAAATAAATGAATGAATGAATATTATGTTGTGGGTTAATAAAAGATTTGACACTTTTATTAATCCTAAATAAAGGTGTTGTTACCTTTTGTGCTAATGAGAAAACCAAACAAACAAAAAAACTCAGCAATGAAGATTACAAAAACCAATATAAGCTGTTTTTCATAAGGCACTGTACTTTATGGTTTGGCACAGCTCACTTCTTGCTCTATTCGGTTTGCATTTACACCACAATTAACTACCACTACCAAGTGAGTAGGATTATTACTCTCATACCCGAGGTGGTTTAAAAGTCAAAAAATCAAAGTCAACTTTATTTTCAGTTCTGTCACATGCCGACAAACAGAGAATTGAAGTGAAGTGCATACAAGTGACAAAAACACTATATAAGGAATATAAATATACAATAAACACAAATCATTTTAGTAAAATTAAGAGAGAAAAAAATCAAAAAGATATTGTGTATATATTACACAATGTACAAAAATACTATATACAAATGATGGTACATATAGCAGCAGGTAAGAAAATTAAGTACTAGCTAATGATATCCCCTAAAAGTGAGCTGCACCAAACCGTTCTTTAACATTGCAAGTTATTTTAGTAAACAAAAACTATGGAGTCAATCTAGGGGCATATATACTTGCAACAAAAAAGAAAGTTTTGCAGACAAACTAAAGTATTGAGCAAAAAATTGTGAAAAATAGTGCAAATTTTTTAAAAAAATGCAAAGGGAAACTTGAGTTTTGAGAAATAAAAAGGAAATTTGCTAACAAAAATAAAGAACTACAAATGAAATTCAAGCTGTGCAAAAAAATGTAATAATTACAATTTTTAAAAAATATTCGTAAATTTTTTTTTTTCATACATAAGGAAAAATATTTTCGAAATGTTTTTTTTTTCCAAGTCCTTTGCAATGCTCATTTTGATTTGTGAGTTATACTGTTTGACGATTTAAACAGCACCCCAAAAACAAAGGATTCAGGTATTTGACTTAATCTCGATTAGATTTATGACAGCAATTCATGGCTGATTTTCTTTGTGTCACGATGTCTCCAACTGAGCATGTCGCTTCATAGGAGGCAGGTCCGGGCATTTCGTACACGACCCAGTTCCTTTGACTCTGCCTCATTGTTAAATCCGGGCCAGAAATGAAAACGCACGGAAATGTGAAGTGTAAAAAAAAAAAAACAGCAAATCAAAATGAGCACTGCAAATGACTTGAGAGGTTGAGAGGTTTTGTAAAGGCAATACTGGAAAACTTGATTTTTATTTGCAGTTCTTTATTTTTGTTTGCAAAAACCTTTTTATTTCTCAAAAGTCAATTTTCCCTTTGCGATTATTATTATTATTATTATTTTTTGAGATTTGCATTTTACATTTTTTTGCTCAATACTTTATTTTTTTGGTTGCAAAACTTTTTGACTTTTGACTGAAAAAAATAAGACGAAAACTTGAAGTCAAAATCATTTTTGAATTGAAATTAAGTTAAAAAATGTAAATAAATGTACAAACTGAAACTAACAATACCAAAAACAACAAAGAAACTTAATTTAATAATAATTAGCAAACAAACTTAAAATAATTATTGGCAAAATAGTCATTTTTTATAATTAATAATCACTCATTCTGTGGCCGAAAAGCTGACGTGCAGCTGTTTAGAGAAACGCCTGTATTTGCGCTATTACAGACAAACACACTTACTTCATCTGACTTTTTTTATTATTATTTGTGTAAGAAGTGAATAAAGTCAAGCAATTATTATCATTTTTTAAATTATTAAGAGGTTTGCAGAAGAGTTCATGTAAGCTGTTCAAACACTAAACTTTGCTCCGGTCAGCACCAGACATACTTGTTACTAAAACTCAAACCAAATTCATTCATTTATTTTCTTTTCGGCCTAGTCCCCCCATTAATCTGGGGTCGCCAAAGCGGAATGAACCGCCAACTTTTTCAGCACGTTTTGATGCAGAGGATGCCCTTCTAGCTGCGACCCATCACTGGAAAACATTCCTACACACTCATTCACACATACACTACGGACAATTTAGCCTACCCAATTCACCTATAGCGCATGCCTTTGGACTTGTGGGGGAAACCGGAGCAGCTGGAGGAAACCTGAGGACTGTGAGACAAATGTGCTACCCACTGTGCCACCGTGCAGCCAAACCAAATTCATAAAATCTAAATAGAAATGTGTTTGCAAAAACCTTTTAAAATGAACCAATAGTGGCAAAACTATTGATGAACTGATCTAAAACAAAACTGAAATTTACAACAAATGTAGAAATAGTATCTCAATAAAAAACATTTTCAAGAACATGTTTTATTGTCAGATATAAAAAAGAAAGAGTCCCTGTTCCAGCAAATCTTTTATTTTCCTTTTCCAAGTTCAAAGTAAAGTGTATTGTGTGATAAAAATTGTAAAAAAAAATTGTGGTCACATTATTGTTTACCTTTTTAATTTCTTGATATATATATATATATATATATATATATATATATATATATATATATATATATATATATATATATATATATATATATAATTAATATTATTATTATTTATTTATAATTTATTTATTTTTTATAACTATTTTTTGTCAGCTTTATTTGTAGGTATGTTTTTTTTTATTATTTATTAAGTATGTGAGCTCATGTTTACATTATTATTTTTGCTTTTTTTTACCTGAATTTGTCATAAAATCCATGAAAAAATACCTGATACCATGCAGTGGGACATCACATATAGATGTGATGTGATGTGAAGGGAAAAAGTTGTACCTTTAGCTGACCTGCTCCATTTCCCTTCAGGTTGTTGGAAGTTCTCTTCTGTTCGTTCATGATGCTTCAGGCCTGGCCCGAGTCTGGATGATTGATTTCGGTAAGACCGTTCCACTGCCACCACCCCAAATCCTGGACCACCGCACACCCTGGGCTGAGGGAAACCGAGAGGACGGCTACCTGTGGGGTCTGGACAACCTCATTCACATCTTTACCAACATGCTGAAGGACGATGACAGATTCACAAACACACCGCGGGAAGAAGCATCACGTGTTGGGCGCTTGTTGATGGAAGAGTCTTCCTTCTAATAGGAGGCGCTCAACAGGATATCAGTCCCGAGATTAAATGCGAACAAAACATGAGTGGGACAAAAGCGGAGCTCAGTCTGTTGTTGTTCATTCCTCTGAGACACATGTGATTCACAATAAACACTGATACTGAGACCAAATGAACAGCGATGAGCAACAGATGACCGCTTTTTCTTTTAAAGGTGCACAGCCATGACTGTTCTTTTAAGAATATTAACTTTATTTTTCTTTCGACTTCTTTTTTACATTTTTATTTGACCTACAGGTATATTGATAACACTATCATACTGGAATGCGCTTTTGGTTTGTTGTTGGTTTTTTGGGGGGATGTTTTTCTTTTCTGTGGTTATGTAAATAGCAAACACTTATTTAATTTGTTTTTAGGATCATTTAGACTTGTCCTTTGATTTTACTTTTATTTCTGTAATCTAACTAGTACCTCATTTTGTTAAAGGCATAGTTCATCCATTTTCTTTTAAATTCTGTCATCATTTACTCACCCTTTACTTGCTCCAAACCTGTTTGAAATCCTTTTTTTGTTGTTGTTTAACACAAAAGAAGATATTCTGAAGAATATTGAAAACCTGTAACCATCGACTATTTGATTTTTCTTCTATGGAAGTCAGTGATTTCACTATTCTCGAAAATATCTTCTGTAAGGTTCAACAGAATACAGAAACGTAAATGTTTGGATCCACCTGAGGTCGAGTAAATAGTAATTAAATATAGTTTTTGAGGTGTGAACTAACCCTTTAACAGCGGTTTAACTGCCAGACTACAGGCAGATTGCCGCTTATCTATTTTCTTGTGGTTTTCTAATCTTGATGATGCATGTTGTTTATATTTCCATTACTCATATGTCCTGTTGAATGTTTGCAGACCAATTCCGCCTTTTAGACCATTCAGTCTTTATAGCAGAATTCGAATTGCTATTAGACATTTAACAGATTAGCTAGGTAGATACATGTAAGCATTTTTGCACTTCACTAACCCCCTGTAACCATTCCATTGTTCAGCTTTGCCAAAATGGTATTTACTGATGAGAAATAGATTCAGTATTTCTTAAAACTTGCCGCAGTTACAAAGATAGAAGCTAACATGTTGTTATATTCACATCTTGATGGAATAATTTAATCTCACGCTGTTTTTAAAGGGATAGTTCAACCAAATATTCCAGTGTGTCCATTGAACGCAAAATAGAGATATTTTGAAGAATGTTGAAAATGTTTTGACTGCTGTAGTATTTTATTTTATCGCACTATGGATGTCAATAGCTTAACAAATTAATGTTCATTTTGGATGAACTATCTTTTAGTTAGCAAGTTTGACTAAGCTGTTCAGTTTCTTGTGTGTGTGCAAGATTAAAAGGCGTTTGGCAGATTAACCTTCTTAATCTCTATCATCAACTTGATTATTTTCTCTCTTTTTTTTTAGAAGATTTGTGAGGTTTCTATTGGTATACAGCAAAAGGAACTACATTTCTATGTGATGGCGCTCATCAAGAACAAAACTGAGATGGTTAAACTCTCAAACTTTGATTGAAAATGTCAATATTTTGCAGATTATAAGTGTTATGGCTACTGATGTCAGGTTGTTGACAGGATGCATTAGTTCTCAAATTGGCCACTGTGGTCAGCTTACCCAGAAAAAGACCAACAACTTTTTCCGTCATCACTTCATGTTTGCTTCAGCCTGTATCTCTGAAATATTTCATTATAAAGCCAAGATAACATTCTCCTCAAACTCGTGATATTAAAGTGATTACTTCACCTGGGCGAGTTAACGTTAGTTTATGGAACATAATGTTCTGTGTGTGTGCGCATGTGTGTGTTTATCTTCAGAGATTGTATTTTCTGTCTCGATGGGACCTGCACACTGTCTGTTGGTGTGTCTGTCAACATTCCAGCACATTCCATCTGTCAGTATTTCTCCTTCTGACTGTGGAAACACTGAACACAATGTCTCACACGGCCTCGTTTACAATTGTGTAAAGTATTATGTTTCATTCACATTGTTGAAATGATTTCCCAAATACCGTTTGGCATGTTTTAGATGACGTTTTATGTTGGAATGAGAACTGGATGGTGTTTTGAGTTGTTTTAGCCCATTTGAATACAGATTGGGACCGTTTATTTGCAACAGGCACATTCTGAAGATTTGTACTCGCATCAACTTGATTGATTGTTGTCTTGAAAGCCAATACAATAAACTGGAACTGTTATTGTTTAATGTTCTATATTTCTCTTGTTCAGTTTCTTGTCTACAAAATGGTTGTGTACACTATTATACTGACTGGGAAAGAAATGCATTCAATTGATCAGATTGAACAGAAAAGATAATTAGATTGTTAGTAGGTACTTCAAAATAACGTAAAATAGTTCACATTTTTTGAATTTTCTATTAAATGGAGTTTATTTATAAACTAATTTGAGAACATCACCTGTTTATGATTGCTTGCAGCCGGCCCCACATTATTCAATTTATGATTAACCAATCAGACGATTCCTAAGTTCCATATAACTACTCCTCCTCTTTTCCTAGACGGGTGGCACGGTGGTCCAGTGGTTAGCACTGTTGCCTCACAGCAAGAACGTCACTGGTTCTAATCCTAACCAAGCCAGCTGATATTTCTGTGCAAGGTTTACACGTTCTCCCTATGCTCATGTGGGTTTCCCTCGGTTTCCTCCCACCGTCCAAAAACATGCAACTTAAGTTAATTGACTAATCCAAATCAGCACCAAAGACATGCTCATAGTAAGTAATCATCTCTTAAAAGCAATCACTATCTGTTCATTAGCTACTACAGCAGGGGGGTTCTCGGGATCTACCTGAGCTCAAACTTCCCTTACGCCTTGCAAACGGGAGGGAGCCCCAGGCTTGAGGATCTTATGAGCTCAGGCCTCTCCCGGAACAGCATGCCAAACAAGCTTTATAATCAATCATCAGCTAAGTGTGAAAACTTAAAAGTATTTTTAGAAGTTCAGGACATGGAAATTAAATAACATCAAAGTTTCCTCATTCTTATGTAAATCCTTTTAATTATAAGATCCTGGTGAAAAAAATGCTAATTAATCAAAACAAAACAGACTCTGACGATCTACATGGGATCATTGATATGCATGCCCCAGGCTGTGTAAGATTAGTTACATTGTTTCCTTGTGAGATTACAGAAATAACATTCCCCCCTTATTTTTAAGTGCATCTAAGCTTTTAATATACTTCTGTATGTGAAACTCATATAGTGAAATTAATATAGAGTTAAGAGAAATTGAGTCATTCTGAGAAGTAAACCATGACCATGGAGCATCTCACAGAATGCAATATGTGGGATATCAGGATTATCAATTAATTCAGCAGCACCCTGAACAAGCATAATGTCTGTTTAAATGTGTAGTTTTGTTAGTTTGTGAAATTTACCTGATATGTTTGCAATTAGGTTGCAGATGTTTGCAATGAGGCAATAGACATTTAAACCTCAACTGAATCACTTATTAAAGGTTTATGCATCCCGTCATATCACATAGCTCTTACTATGATTTTTTTTTCTGAAGTAAAAGGAGGCCAATAAACTTCAAAAACTCTTGTTTATGCAGAGGTTGATATTAATCCCTGCCTGTGTTTTCATGTGTTAAACCAAAACAAAATTAAACTGGCAACCCCTTTTGTTAAGTATAATTATAATTCAGCCTATTAGAACTTTTTCTTGGCTGGTGCATAGAGGGCGCTATAGCGACCAGCGTCTTGGGTAGAATGTCTAGAACATCCGCTTACAGCATTTACAACTGGTAATTTGTGATTCGAAAATGGGTTTCAATAGCATTTTGAGTGTTTTTGTGACACACGACTTTGAAAGGTGTGTGTTAAAGCCGTTTTAATCTGTCAGTTGTGATCCAAGCGCAAGAGAAAAACTTCTAGTTCACGTCTCTCCTGTCAGAAACACAGTGCGTGTTCCCGGTCAGCTGTTAGTTTACGCACGCACGCACGCACGCCCGCACACACACACACACACACACACACACACACACACACACACACACATGCAATACTTCACTGCATTATAGAGCAAACCAGATTACTGGCATGAAACTTAACAGGTGCAAGTCATGCAATTTACAAAAATGACCAATAAAAGTCTATAACTAATACTCTGCTGGCTGATTTGCATGTTGATTCTAATCAGGAGCCGTTCATGTTAGTGAAACAGTACAGGCTATGTGTTGTGTGTCAAACATTTCGGTGAATTACATTTGTTTGGGTTGGTTATATGTTTGAAAAAAGTATTAAATGTTGACTATAGCGATAATGAGGCTTCATTTAAACGGCACAAAATGCTGTCTGACAATGAGGGAAAATGCTTCACAGCAGTTGTTTTCCATCCCATTAGATCGCATTTTTTAAAATGATCAGTCCAGAAGGTGGTGCGGATTGACAACTGTATTGGTTCAAATATGTTAAAAGTCATTTCAAAGCAGTCCAAATGTGCATTTATACGCATCAGCTATCGACCAAGTTCTTAGCATTCTCCTTGCGCATACATGCAAAAAATAATGGGTAATTTTGCGTTCTGAGAAAAAGGTCTATATTTCATTTACAACACACCTCTGGCGCAAACAAGTTACTCTGCTGGCACAAAGATAGTTCACTAACTCCTAGCTAAAATGAACCTCTCCACTACTTCAGTTGAAAAGATTGTCATTTAACAGGGAATCTACTTACTGTGTTTCAGAGAACATGCTGTGTGTGTTACAGGCACTAACATGAATTGCTGGAATTCTAAAAATTCCAATTTTATTTGTCACAGTCATACACGCATGATATGTAGTGAAACACTTAGTGTTTCTATCTTTACTCAATTGTTATGATTTTCCCAGTTTTAGGTTGCTGAAACTTCACTTAAAGGTGAAGTGGATTTTGTACTCTTTAAAGTGTGAAGTTAATCTATATAATCAAATTGTATGTGGATAATCTGCTTGTTGACTTACATACCATTAGAAGAATTAAGGTACTATGTAAAGTTAGAAAAGGAAGATGGCCTGAGTAAACAACCAAGGTGTCACAAGAAATGCATGAGAACAGAGCAACACCTGTTGAAACAGTTAAGAATAGATGGACAAGATATATGGTTAACAGGTTTGGTTTGGGGGTTAAAACTAGTTTGGATCTTGTGTGACAAATGTAGGACAATGTAAAAAACAGCTGCAAGATGCTGCTGGGGGTCTCCTGAAAAGTCTCCTTTGAGGGTCGACAATACAGAACTATTTCTTCTGAAATCAAAACCACCAGACTTTGCTGATTATTGAAGAAAGGAAAAACCACCACAGAGGGGACCTATTTATTTATTTTTTTCAATATTTAAGATAAGTCTTAAGTGTCTCCAGAATGTGTCTGTAAAGTTTCAGCTCAAAACACCCATCAGATTATTTATTAAACCTTTCTTTTTGTGGCCTGTTCCTTTAATGCTAGTTCTCCACGCCCACCGTTCCCACGTACCTGTCAGAGTATGTCTAAATCTTATAAGCAGCACAGTGACAGACATGAAGGAAGCAGATCTCACGTAACGTTTGTGAGAAATTCTACAGTAAGAACTTTTCCAATGATTATTTGATGTATTTGTTGTGAAGATAATGAGTCGATGAGAATGATGTCACACACAATGTTGTTACAAAGTTCATACACACACACACACACACACACACACACACACACAGAGCGCAAGCATTTAGCTTTGCACTGTTTTTGCAAGCAAATGTTACAAGATACAAGTTAATATCGTCTGCATATGGATATCCGTTATGCTAATGTACCAAATTAGCATTAATTGTCCATAAACCGGGATTGAATCATCTTTTTTTATTGTACTGACATGCAGCTGTGGTGATAAAGACAGTAAAATCTCTGTAATTCATTACAAACATGCACTGTTTAAAAAACATTTTAAACTTGTAAAACTCATTCTTGATCACATTTGATGATGATTGATGATCACAGCGAGCTGAACAGATCTTTAAATCCCAGTTGCTTTGCGCACGTCCTGTCTTGTTAATATAATTATACGCGTTGCTATGGAGACATGTTAATACGCGGCTGTCAAATCAAATCGGTGGGCGGGAAACTGCACTCCTACATCACATTGTGGTGGGCCTCAAAATAGGAGGGATTTGGATTCTATTTAAACGTTAGGAAATTTTAAAAAAGACTTATTGTTTTTATATCACCCCAATATGACTGTGGACACACGATACCTACACACATATCTGTCCTAACAGCTTTCAAAAGATGATTTTCATCATAGATGCCCTTTAAAAAACAACAACAAAGAAAATGAGGTCGGAGCAGTGAAGACCACACCTGACTTCACTGCCCCAAGCACAGCCCCCATTAATATTCATAAGCACTGCAAATATGGTCAGAAAAGGCCTTTCCAAACTAAGGGTAAATTCTAAGGTAATCTCTAAAAGTAATTTTTGTCACATACCTTCAATGTAGAAATGAATAAACAATTTAACAAATCATATCAATGTATACTATCTATACAGCAACTTTAAAGAATCCTGAAAAAAGGTCTAATAGTTTCCACAAAAAACAATCCGCAAGTGTTTTCAACATTTACAGTGATAAATAGGCCAGCATATTAGAATGACTTCTGAACAAATGACAGATTATTTCTGTTTCACCCAAAATGGTTTGATTTCTCTTGCTCTCTCTACATGACAAACTTGCACATACAGTATCACAGTCAGTCACAAAGAAAAAAAGTTTTAAAAAGAAAGAAGGGTTTTGCGATTGAAGAAAATGACATTTTCACTAGTATTCTGGCTTTTTTATTGATCCAGTTCAACATATATTTTTGCTATTATTATATATAATGCTGCCCATTACAGTGAAAAGCACACTCATACAAAATCTTTTTCTAATGAATTCAGTTAATTAGCTAGTTTAGATGTCATGTTGTCTTCTCGGAGTATGCAAGTTTATATACAGTAGTCAGCATTTGAAGTGAATCAAAACCTTTTAAAGTTATCGCAAAACTACTGAACACCTATTCTTGTCCTAAAACTATTTTGAAAACCTTTTTTTATCCTCTTTAAATGTTGACGACTGTTGTGCGGGTATATAGTGAAGTTGTTTGGATTAAAAATGAATCCTTTAGAGTTTCAAATTGTGGGAAGGATAATCGTGCTGTAATTTGGGCAGAGAAAAGAAAGTGTTTCTCTTCCTCTGTTTGATTTATGTCGCAG